GCCTTGGTGGGATATGGCCTGTTTGTTGAAAACAAAAAATCAACCAAATTGTTAAATCTTGCATTTTTCACATTCAAATCTCTATGTACAGATGCCCCTCTGCTTATGAAGGGGTTATGTTCCAATGAACTCATTATAAGTTGATAATATCGTAAGTCAAATATGATATGATAAATAAATAAGTAGATACAGCCTCTCCTCACTTAGCAATATACTCATTTACCAACGGCTCGGACTTACGAAGGGCTCTGTGACCAGTATGCATACCTCAATAATGTATATTAGAGCTGATTTCCTGTAGTTTGTTTATTACAATATACAGTACACTGCTGTATAAACGTTTTAAAAATATACCAGAAATGTTATAAATGTTGCAAAGGTGACATTATTATATAATATCAAAGATGGTTAACATAAACCCACTACCATCATAGTATGCTCCTCACTTAGCGACGAATTTGTTTACCAACGTGGTCTTAGGAATAGAACTCCATCATAAGTGAGGAGAGGCTGTAATTACTGTCACTGAATAAGTAAATAAAAAATAATTACTGTGACTAAATACCAGGACTGAAAAGTGAGTAAATGAATACAAGTTTATCCTATCAATAAATGTACAGTACAAAAAAATGTCTTACAGCACATTGATTTGATTACCCAAGGATGATACAGGTACTGTACATGCAGTGATATGTTGTACAGTGGTACCTTGAGTTATGAACTTAATTCTTTCCAGAAGGCTGTTCGAGTGCCGATACCGAACGAATTTGTTCCCATAAGGAATAATGTAAATTAGATTAGTCAGTTTTAGACCCCCAAAAATGCACTTACATAATTGTTCAAGTTGGGAGCTGTTCAAAACTTGAGGTACCACTGTACATGTACTCACCATTAACTCTTTCACTGTTAAGACCCCTGCTTACAAACTTGTTCTCAGTGCCGAAGAATTTAAAAAAAAAAAATTATTTTTCTTATAAAATAATAGATAATCTTTTTCTGATGGTAATGACACCAAAAGTACAAAATTTGATGGAAAATTTACGGAATTACGCTATCGCGAAGTTAGTGGTCTCGGCGATATTTACACATCGCCAATTTTGCCCACTTTGAGCTCTGTTTTTGGCCAATTCTGTTGTTCCAGTTGACCAAACTCATAGCTTTTTCACTACAACTCCATTTGTTCTATCGATTGAGTATGAGAAACCTCCCATTTACTGATTTCAACTACCCAATAAAGTGATCAGAAATTTGTAATTGGCCAATTTCATACACAATTCAAGTAAAGCCAATTTCAAAATAGGGGCCAGAATAAACAATGCAGATATTCCTAGCAGTAAAATAACATTTTCTCTGTTCATTAATCACATCTCCAGGCACCTCTAATATTACGCTTGCTTTCCATTTTGAATTTTTATTCACACAAAAAATAGAAAATTTACTGTTATACAGACTACTGCAGTACTGTCAAAATGGTATAAATAATATCAGCGCATTTGTGAATACATATTAGACCCATCAGTTGACGTGTATCGGACGTGTGGCGTGATATGTTTATTCTTGAACATCGGCAAAAATCGAACATTTCTGGTACTTTGAGCTCAATTTCAAGATACTTTTGGTCTGTAAACCATTCAAAATAATCTATATTTCTATAATATATCTTTCATTCTGTCAAATGACACCAAGAAGACAAGAACACAACCACAAATTCCATACAAAAATACACTGCAAAGTCACTGTTATAAACCAAAAACACTCCGTTTTTTTTCTCATTATGCACTGTGTGTTGCAGGATTTTTTTTATACTGCACACATTGACCACTCAGACCCAGTCTCTCATATGTAGGCCTACCAGCTATCTCCCGCAAGACTGGAAGCTGCTAAAATTTTGGCGTTGTATTACGGGACCGACACTGGCCAGGAAGCCATAATATTATGGGACCGACAGTGAAAGGGTTAATGTAGTAAGCTGAAAGCACACCGGGCCTGAAGAATGTTGCTGGAACAGATCAGAATTCAAAGTTCAATGACTACTGAATGTGCACTGCTATCACACCATCATAAAGTCGAAATATCGTAAGCCAAGCCATCTTAAAGTGAGGAGCATCTGTAGTCAGAAAATATCTTAAGCATAATGTTTTGGTCTTATCCTTACATTTGTTGCCTCTCAAACTGATTTTTGCAATTGTTTGTAGCTTTGCCTAACTACTTGCTGAAAAAAGACTTAATCCTGTGCTGAAACCTGCAGCTGGACTTATTTTTGCTTCCATCTGGGGTTCCCACTTGTCCCTAATTGTTTGAGTTGCAATGGCTCCCTATCAAAGCACAAATTGAGTGTAAACTATGTTAACATTTAAAGTTATTAAGGTTTATGAAGCCAAGTATCTTACTGATATTTTTGTTCCATATACAGTGGAACCTCTACTTATGAGTTTAATCCATTCTGTGACCTTGCTCACATCTGGATTTGCTCGTTTGCAGAGTCAATTTTCCTCATTTAAATTAACTGAAATGGAATTAATTCGTTCAGTGGAATTCCAGGCACAACAAAATACTAAAATAGTTTCCTAATATCAACTCTACGGCTTATTTATTTATCACAATTCATCTAATATGACATAATAAACAATATTAATAACATAGAAACATGATGTATACACTAGAATGAATAAAATACATGTCATTATGTAGTATATGGCTAGTGGTGGTGATAGCGGCCATTGTTGTTGGGGTTTATAGGGTCACCACAGCAGCCATTCCTGCTCCTGACTACATGTGTAGAGAACCTGGGGTAACCCATAAAAGTCAGACACTGCTATTTCATGTTGTCTGTCACTGCTGCTTCATGATGTCTGTCACTTCTGCTTCATGTCTGAAACTGCTGCTTCATGTTGTTTGCCACTGCTACCTCATGATGTCTGCTCCCACTTTTGCTAGCGTGTTGAAGAGCTTTCCAATATGTGAAGGTTGAGGGGCAGTGCCAATTGGACAGGTATTGGACTGTGACGTCATTTGTTTACTCTTGAACATTTCTGCTACTTTGAGCTCAATTTCAAGGTACTTTTTGTCGGGAAACCAATCAAAATCATATCTATTTCTGTGGTATATCTTCCATTCTATCAAATGAGACCAAAAAAAATGAGAATACAACCATGAAAACCATACAAAAATATACCACTAAGGGGAGGTTAATGGCTGAGAAGTGAACTCCATTATTTATGGTCAGATTTCTTTCATTTTTGGTGTACATTAAGAAGCACCTTTCCATCATACATTGCCCAAGTTTCAGTAAGATAGTCCAACAAACAGCTGAGATCCAATTCCCAAGATCAAGAGCAAGAGCCCCTCACCAGCATCATGGAACCTCCCTTGAGGCCCACTCGCGTCTGGAAGCAAAAAATCAACTGAGTGACTGCTCATATCTGGAAAAGCTTGCACATGGATGCACTTGTATGTAGAGGTTCCACTGTCCTTGGGAATACTTCTGCAGGTTGCTGTGGATCTTTTTAAGCTGATTGAGCCTCATGCTGTTGTGGACAAAACATTCGTAGATTGTTCAACAGGTTGCCAGTGTCTGTTAAGAGTCTAGACTCTGTGCTTGTTTTTAAGTCTCACTTGGGAACACATCTCTTTTCTAGAGCTTATGATCCTGCTGTCACTCTTGAATATGAACTTTAGTACGGTAGACCATCGATTAAAGTGGTTTCTCCATTGAACTATTGTCAAATTGCAGCACATTTTCGTTTTACACTTCGTAAAATTCAATTTAAACAATTCTGTTTTTCGGTAGGGGAAAAATTTTAGTGCCACAAGCACTGATTTGATTTGACTGACAGATTTACTGAATGACTTACTTGGCTGACCTACTGACTCAACTGATTTACTTGACCAACTTGACTGATTTACTGATTGACTTGATATACTGACTGCTTACTAGTTGATTGACTGACTTAACTGATTCATTGAATGACTTGACTGACAGACTTGAATGAGTGACCTACTGAATTGAATGACTGAACTACTGATTCACTTGACTGACTGGACTACCATCCACCTAAGCCCAGATGGGCCTCAGCCTGCCTCTCCACTCCCTCCTTCACAATCATTGACAAACACTGGCAACCACAATTTTTTTGTTATTTTTTCTTACGAAATGGAGGAGAATATTTTTCTAAAGGTAATAAAACAAAAATTATGAAATTTAATGGAAAATTGACGAAATTACGCTCTCGTGAATTTTGCTGCGTCAGCGATATTTACTCGTCAGCGATTTTGCCGACTTTGACTCCCATTTTAGGCCAATTACATTATTCCAGTCAACCAAATTCTTAGCTATTTCGCTAGTATTACTTATATTTTATCAATTAAACACAAGAAATCACCCAGTCAACTGTTTCAACTATCCAATAAAGTGATCAGAAATTGGTAATTTGGCCAATTTAACACAAAGTTCAAAACACTCCAGTTTCAACATAGGGTCCAGAATAAACAATGCAGGCATTCCTGGCACTAAACTAACATCTCCTCTGTTCATTAGTTGCATTTTCAAATTTTAAAAATTAATTCCCTTTTTATTTTTTTTTCACATAATGAATTTTTTTTCACACCAAAAAATGGAACATTTTTTCTGTTATGCAATATTGTAATAATTTTATAAATAATATCAGCATTTTCGTGAATGTATATTAGACCCACCAGCTGACGCATATTAACCCGTGACATCATTTGTTTACTCTTGAACATTGGCAAAAATTTAACATTTCCACATTATGAGCTCAGTTTCAAGCCATTTTCAGTACCAAAACTAACAAAAAACATCCTATTTCTGTAAATATCTTCCATTCTATCAAATGAGACCAAGAGGATATGCCTGGTCACAGACCGGGCCCCCGGGGGCGTTGACCCCCGGAACTCTCTCCAGGTAAACTCCAGGTATTCCCTGTCCTTATTGAATCATCCCCCAGCTTCATGTATGTGCTAACATTTTTAATCTTTTTCAGATTGGTTTTGAAGTTGTGTGGTTGAAGCGAAAAACACAGAAGCTAGTGGATATTTCAGAAGAAGCCGTCAGGAGCATACAGGTAAATTTAAAGAATAATTTCAGTATTTTTTTTTTTAATGTGGCAACATCATGTTGATTTGGTAGAGGTCAGTCAAGAAATAGGGTTTTTTAAAAATTAATTTGGTATTGTAATAAATATTTTTTTTTTAATTAATTTATATTTAATGTCAGTGGAGATGGCAAAAAAGGGGAATGTACCAGAGTATAATAGTACCAACTCTTTCATATGGGTGTGCAGTATGGGTTTTTAAAAATTGCAGTGAGGAGGAGGCTGGTGGCAGTGGAGAAATCATGTTTCAGAGGAATATATGATGTAAATATTATACAGAAATTTGGAGCATGGAGATTAAAAGATTCACTTTTAATAGTCAGGCATCCTGAGCTTGACTTGAAAGTAACAAATAATGTCCACTATTACTGTAACCATTGGCTAGCTAGTGTACTTTTTTTTAATTATCGAGTCCCCACTAGAGTTCAGGTAATATCACAGATCATCATCAAAATTTGCTAAAGAAAACTAATTATTTTTATGACATTTAAAAATTTGTTATTGCTCTCTCAAGGTCTGAAGAACATGGCCCTATTTTGCCCATATGTTTTCAGTCCATTAGTTTTTGCAGTTTTTGGAACATACTCGTCACAAATTATGATGGTCCATCAAATAAGCATATAAAAAAAATCCAGAAGTCATCTGTAATTCCTATGCAATTCAAAATTTGGAAAAGATCCATGTTTCTTATGCCAAAAAATTGACATACCAAATAAGCACCAAATTGCCATATACACCAAAATAGATATAATTGGTTACAAAAAAACCAAGAAAAAATTAAAAGATTTATTTATAATCCTCCTCTCTTTTACTCTCCTTCACTCCTTTAAAACCCAAACCCGCTTGTCTTTGGCTAGATTAACCCTTTTATGCCTGAAATGCCCCACATGGTAGTGGGTTTCTTGTACTTAACCCAAAACAAATTGTAATTACACTTTGTAACCTTTGCAAAGAAATAAAATCTTTATTTTTTAATCTTTTTAATCTGTTCGTATACTGTGAGTTTGAGGTCACTGTTGGTGCCGTAGTACTACTCCACGAGCTCACTCACTCAGATAAACTGTGAGCGGGAAAAATTTGGGCCTAGAAAGAATATTA